AGTTGAGGCCGTAACGGTCTGTTATTTTATTTATTACTCGTGAATAAAGTAGTCCTGGGTTCTACTTCTGTAACACTACACGAAACAAAAACAGTTGCGAGACAACAATTGTTTTACTGTGAAATTCATAGAGGAGGGTCTCGATGGAGGTCTACGTTTGACGGCTAAAAAACGACGTTTTGACGGTTAATTTTTTACTTTTTTATCTTTACGTTTAAGATGGGCTAACTAATGCGCCTTTTCAAAAAGAAAAACTAGAGAAGAAAAAACTTGTCACTAAACTAAACAAATTGGAACGCAGAAATCACGTATCTCGCGGCAAAGTTTTAGAGTTATCCCGATCCCGCCGCGAAAAACGCAAAATCCCGATCCCGCTTGCATTTTAAGATCTCGCATCCCGTCAAAATTTTCGTCCAGATCCCGAATCCCGGCATCACAAAATGGCTTATCCCGCATCCCGCAAAACCTATTGTGGACCCTCTTTCATCTGTTGAGTAGTCGAGAGAACGGTGATCGCTATTGTTGAACCGAGGTTGAACGAAGATGATATCATCACTTGTCCAAAGCCGTAGATACTTATATGAATTAATCAATCTAATATTCAGCAAACTATGGGCTATCACAAATCAAGTATTCTGATTGGCTTCTGAAATATTTTCTATTTATGATAGACCATGTTATAGCATCAAATAAAGAGAAAATAGTCCTTGTTCTTGAAAGTCCATTGTTCTTGAAAGTTTTTTTGTCAAATTTTTCTTATAGTTGTGTGGATATTAAGCTGTCTAATGGTCTATCAACTCGTAATCCACTCGACCACGTGGCATAATTGTTCTTTTATAATTATGTAGAATTTTTGATACTCGCGCCTTCGATAACTCAAATAACAACTTAGAAAACCTTCTTAAGGTCATGAAATAACCGGTCAATAATCGATCGACGCTCTCTTTGACAAACTTTTTCCTGAGATTTAGAAATTTCTGAACTTAGGAATCATTATAAGTATAAATAGGGTGGCAAGGGTGGTCTAGTGGTTAAGCTACTGGCCTCTCACCGCTGTGGTCCGGGTTCGATTCCTGGGCACGGAGCAGATGTGAGTTTGAGTTTGTTTGATGTGTTGTTCTCTCCCTTGCCACGAGGGTTTTTCTCCGGGTCCTCCGGTTTTCCTCCCTCAGTAAAAATCAACATGTGAGGAGTGTTGTGTGCTAAAATACTTAATGTAGAGGTAGTGAGTGTGAGTGTGAGGGCCACAAGTTCATCAGTTCTTTACTGTCACGTGTTACCCTCGTAAAATAAAGTCGATTTATTTTTATTTATTGTATTTAACGAAGTCTGCTCGAACTGTAAGCTTTCTTGGATAGAGATTTTAATGACATTATGGCCTTATTCCAAACTCATACAAAAATACTTTGAATATTGAAGTAATTATAAGACAATGAATGTAAAATATGCATGACTATTTTTACCTGACAGTGACAAACAACCAATATTCTATTTTATACAAACCAATATTTTGTGGACTTAACTGTAACTTAGAAACCGTAGAAATGTCTCCAGCTTTTAGTATAACGGCTCAAAAAATGATGTAGGAAAGACGATTCGTAAACTGACCATCATAATAGATATGAAAGAAAGTCACCGAAAGTAAAATACAGATCGCGGTAAAAAAAAAAAAAGATTAGCGGACCGACAAAAAACAATATAATGAATAAAAACAATGTTTTAGATATCAGATGGTTATCTGGGAAACACAATTTCCCTTCATTACTTCTAGCTTTCGTTTATAAAAAGAAATCCTTTTGCTTTTATTTTAAATTGCCAACTCTACTTGTATATACCGAGGGAACATTGAGTCACGCTATGAACAACATGAGCTAAAGACTGTGTAGCGTTGTATGCGTAAACCAGAAAGGAGCTATATAGCCTGGGGGTGGCAGGCAGGGATACTGATAAGTGATTTGCTGTTGCTCCGTACAAGACACATTAAACCAAGAAGAAATTCAAAATATTTTCACTTGTACATCATCTCCCGTACTAGCTATACTACTACGTTAAACCAAGCGCTACCAAAATGAAGATAATTTGCGCTGGATTGCAAAAAACAGGAACCAAATCCATGGCTGCTGCTTTACGTATTCTTGGCTTCACAGTTCACGACTACGACGAACATAACGTGTATTATTTGAACGAGTATCTTGATGCAATGGATGGGAAGATTCCTGATTTTACCACCATGTATAAAGATGTTGATGCAACAACAGACATTCCTGCTTCGTTGTTCTGGGAGGAAATCAAAGAAAGCTTTCCTGAAGCTAAGGTTGTACTTATGGTACGAGAAAGCGCCGAGTCGTGGGTGGATAGCATGCTACACACTAGAGCTGTGGTATTTCAAAACGTCAAGCAGTTCTCGACCAGCATGGCGATGTCAATCACGCCAACAGGCCGTAAATGGTGGAAACTCTACGAAAAGTGTTCCATAAGAATGAGGTTTGACGACAAAGAAAAGATGCCCCCAGTCTACACTAAGCACAACGCGCGGGTCAAGGCCACCATCCCGCGGGACGAGCTTCTCGTCTACAACGTCAAACAAGGATGGAAACCGTTGTGTGAGTTCCTGGGAGTCGAAGTCCCGGATGTACCTTTTCCGCGCTTAAATGTTAAAAGTTCAGCAATACCAGATATCGTAAATTATTCTGGAATTGGTAAAATAGTTTACAGGGAAGCGCTTTTAGTTCTGATAGTTTTTGTCGTTATTGTAACATTGCTGGTTTTCATATTTGTTAACTGAAGAATAATTGAATTGCTCAGTGTTGAAACCCTTTCAGGTCTCAATAAATATTACTGAAAACGCGCTCTCAGATTCACTGATTACTATTAAATACATGTAGACTTTCTTGGAAGAGAGAAAAATGAAAACTGAGAAAAACAATTTGATTTTTTCAAAAGGCGAAGGCGAGCGATGGAATGAGAAAACGTAGGTAAACAGCGTAATAAACACCAAAAAAGTGTTTAAATTTCTCTTGTTATTTAGAAACCACACCATTCTACCCACAAAGGTTGTACTATTGTACGTAACAGGGTAATGTAACTAATAATTACGTAGAACGTAGAGGACGAAACGAATATTTCACTGGCGTATTACGTAAAAGATAACGCAAGACGAAATCATCATTACGTAAGCACAACACTACGTATTACATAAAAAAATTACGTAAAATTAGTGAATTAATTACTATAACAAAATTAATAATTCTGAACATAAGTAACGCAGGCTCAAGTTTACAGGAAAGTGGGTGGCTGAGTGAGTGAGTGAGTGACAGATTCGCAATCTTCGATTTAAAAACTAACCTGGTCTTCATTCTCGATTTGATCGCTAACGTCCTTCGCACCTTCACCCTCTCCAAGTCCACCATCTTGAATGTCCTCGAAGTCAGTCGCCCCCTCTCCACTGTCTTCTTCCTCCACTTCGGGCGGTAAGCAAAATCCTTTCTCGACTAACTCAGTGAAAACACCAAGAAGAACAGACAGAAGTTTGCTGGTTGTATTATGGGCAGTCAGTAGGCTTAGAAGAAAGCCATCAGCGAGGCAGAGGTATTGGTCTAGTAACGAGACCAAGGTTGATATCACGTGACGAGTGACATCCAGAGGTATATAGGGAGTTTCTTTGACTGGGGACTCGTTATTTGCTGTTTGATGAGTGGTAGCAGATGCTTTAAGCTCAGATATGAAGGATATAACGCTGTCTTGTACGGTAAAGAGGTCAAGTTTTGCTATATCATCAACCATGGCTTGGTAGATATGAGAAACGAGATGTCCCTCCAAAAGATTGTCTTCTTCGACTGCAAGTGGATGGACGTCGTTTTAATAATCACATACATGTTGTTGTTTTTTTATTTATGACAAGAAATAAAATGTTCAAAAAAACTTCGGTTAGACGAGTTTAAATGATCAAATGAAAAAAGATCAATGCTTCAATATCATATAGACCTTGAGACCAAAAGGAAATTTTATGGGATATATGATCATGAAATTTCTGTCGTAACTTCGTGACTGACTACTTATGCACTTTCCAATCTAACCCTTATGTCTAAACCTACGATTTTGAAATCAGAATAAATGAAATACTCTACAGTCTACCTTCTTCATTGTCAATGTTTCCATCTCTTGATTCTAACACTTTGGAGAGTCTCTGCACTCCAAGGAGCAGCGTTGTCACGGCTTTATCCACAAAGTCTTCTACAGGAAGAGTTGTTCCATGACTTGTGCTGGTTTGTACAAGGGTTTGGTTCCATGTTTCTAGTCTTTGACATTCACTCTCGATTCTTTGTGTTAAGATATACAGACAACCGCCAAGACCCATGTCTTTGTAAATTCTAAAATGACAGACATGGAAAGAATAGGCACGTTACAGCGAAGTAATTTCCTCTAGCAAAGCATGACGGGAAAGATAGCCATCGCGTTTCTGATATTCTCCATAAAAATACTCCATAAAAACTGTTTTTGTCGCAACGATGCCGTTAATTTTACCGTTTCCGTAAAGGAAACAAAAAGACGGATGTGAGGGTCTATTTTTTCATAATGAAAAGTTGCAATGACGGCATTTCTCATCATGCTTTGATGGCGTCGCTTCACATTGCTTGTTAAGAAAGCAAAATTAAACAATGGTGTACCTTGATTCAAAATGACACAATAAGGACCTGATATTTCTGCCAATAGTTGTCAAAGATTGAACACCACATGACAGGGCTTTCACATGTTCCCTATAAAAAGAGCTCATTCTTACTTATAGCATAGTGATTCTTCGTCTTAGTATGACGGTAGCCACAAAAATAATCTATATAAATGGAAGATTAGCAATACAAGAAGACATATACAAGTCAACATTCAAACGATAGAAATCACAAACGAATAGGATACCAACCAATCAAACAAACTGACCAAGAAGACAACAAATTAACTAAAGAACCAATACAAAGAGAACAAAAACAGAGATCTTCAAAAACAAGACAAACAAAAATAAATAAACCCCTGAAACTGGGAAAGGCTGGGTTGTGTTTCCTTACCATGACGCAATAACACTATTTCCTACGTCACTTCCGCTCGTCTGGTTCTCCATGGTAACCACATATGGTCGTAGTTCATTAATGACATTAGCAACACTTGCTTGACAATTCTACAAGACAAAGATATCAAAAATATAGATGGAAAAGCTGTTCTGTTTTGTTCTGTTTTTTTTTTCCCAAGGCAAGTGAGGCCCGCTTCAGTTTAAAATACATTCTCTTGCACAAATGCCTGTACGGTCAAGAAATGCGACAACAAATGCCGCTGAGCTTCCCAAAATTTGCCCCAAAAAGAACAGAAAATTAAAGATGGCGGCCATATTGACAAAAGGGACACAGGGAGCCCGAGGATAGTACAGTCATTACCTTAAGAGTGGTTTCGATGTTTTGGATGACTTCGCTGCTGCTTGATGCTTTGGAGACAGCCGAGAGCATGTTTGATGGTACTGGAGTACAGTCATTCGTGAAAGGTTGTTGTGGACAACATTTTAYCAGATGAAGTGAACGCTTCAACAACTGGGAAACCCAAGTCAAGAACTCCAAGAACTGAGTCTAAACATTGAAAAACATTATCAAAACGAGTTTATATGCAGATTAACTAAATTGGAATATACGAAAGAGAAATTTCGATTAAGTTACCATTTGATGGGGAAGGTCATCTTGAGGAGGTATAAGTACCGGTCCTTTCTCGACCACTACACTTGAGAGAGACCTGGAAGCCAATCTAAATATAAACAGCACATTTTATCGACTAATTCTACCGTATACATAGTGTTCGCTGTAATACAGGGTAAATACAGGTTAAACCGGTATCATAAACCAGTTAAAAACAAGTTGCAATACGACTGTCTCTCTCAAAAATGACGAACAACAACTTACAAGCAACAACAACATCAACAAACAACCAAACAAAAACAACAACAACAAAAAAACCGAACGAAAACAACAGCAACCTCAATAATAAATGTAGTTTTTATTTATTTTTCATCAAAAGGACGCCATCTTACCTTAGTGTCCTAATTCTCTTTGTCATTTCTACAATGGCTTTGCGTTGATTCTGTATAACTGTCATTAGATGGTGACTATATCCCTTACAACGGTCAATATCCCCCACGGTCAACTCCTAAATAATAAACTCATTACATGACTGGTAATCTTGACAAACTCACCACAGGAATCCCAATAGTTTACCTTAGATGGTGACGTCAGATGTACGTTCAGGGCAGACATGCGCGCTAAGCACCGATGGTAGTAGTGTTGACATTTGTTGGCATGGAAACCAGCAGCTTTGTTCAAGTCAATTCTGAAAAAAAAACACGATTTATTGAATTTCAGAAAATGTTGACAGGAGTGCGGTGATCTAAGGAGGAATAGTCGTGGGTTCCAATTATATAGGGCTACCAAAGTTTGGTTACAGGTTATAAATCCAAGGCAATACCTGGTCTTGCTGTGAAGTAGGGAATCAATATGAGTCTCTTCAAATCCAGGCAGCAACATCGAAAACTCTAGTGAGGACAGACTCGCATTTTGGAGTCCCTTTTTGTGCGATAAACCTGAAAAGACGAATAAAAAATACGAATGCAAATTGTAGAGTTGCTTCCATTCCTCCTCGTTAAGTTAACACAGGAATCCCAGTAGGTTAAACCAAGAAGACAGTGGTTATTACAATATGTTACCTATGGAAGACAATGTCTTGAACAGTTCTGCTAGGGCTGTGCGTTTCCTGAGGTGAATGTGCTTCCGCATTTCTTTTTGCTTTTCCTTGGGCTTGAGAATCAAATAAACAACAGATTAATAGTTAAAAATGAATGGATGGATGGACGGATGCAAGGGAAAATGAATGAACAGAGGGTTTAATGGGAATAAACGAAGGAATGACTACATAGCACGATGAATGGATAAATACAAACGGATGAATGGAAGCATCCGATTAAATACAACAACTTAATATCGTTCACAAACCTGGTTAACTACATCTAAAGATTGAAGATCATGAACACCAGTGATGATTTCTCCTACAGACGAACAACAACAATAATATCAGCAAACAGTGCAAGAAACAGAACCAATGAGAGAAGAATGGAAACTAATGGATTTTCTAAATAGAATTTGGATGAAAGTGAGCTCGAGAAAGAAAAGAAAAGGAGAAAGGAATGATAAGAAGGATAAAGTAGTAGAGAATCAAACAACTCACCAGTAAATTCATTTAGTGTTGCTGAAAGAGTCGAGTATCTTTCTTCTTTCAAAATCTTATAACATAACTTTTTCATTCTTGAGAATAGCTTTGGCAGTCTTTCCACGTGACCAGTCACATGATGTAAACGAGTTTCCAATACTTTCCCACCATTGGCTGGTTCAGACTCAGAAATAAACCAATCAGGGTTAAGTTGGATATCACGTGATTCTTCTACGTTGCCCTGTTGGATTGATCCAATTATCTTCTTGGGATCCATCAACAGTTGTCTGACAGGTTCACTTAGTGCCATCTGAATGGGCAAAAAATACACATTAGAAAAATGCAAGAATAGAATTCTTCTTTAATAAAGACAGCTCTTCTAGCATTGTTAAAACGCCTGCAATTTTGAAGTAATATATACAATGAGCGGGCGATCTGTATGTAATATACAACTCTCTTCATGGGCTATGATTTCTATTGTGTTTTGCCTTATGAATATTAATGAGTTTTATAAATGCCATTATTGAGTCTTGTACAAACCTCATAACGTCTTACAAACTTGTGGAGAGTTCGATGTGATTTTTCTGTCGCCTGCTTCATCGCCCAGAAGTTTGAATCGTTCCATTTGGCAATCTTCACATAGCCCTGTAAACAAAACAAATACAAGTCACTCTAAAATTCACAGGTTCAGAGTTTTGTACTCCGAATCTCACATGTGCTGAACTCAAAGGAAATGAGATGTATGAGCTCATGTATCATGATAAATGGAAACAAAAGACTCGAGTACTTTGCATTGAATTCATCACATGAGATATTCGCAGTTTGTTTTACAAGCCTTAAGTTCTTTCTCGATAGGATCTCTTGCTTGGTAGATTCTTTGTTCAACCGTAGCGGAGAATTGCTTGTAGTACGTGTAAATATTCAGCATTACATCTGAGATTTTAGCTGCAAAAATAAACCACAATGACACAGTTTAACCTCAATATAACACTTGGAAGAGTCATTACCCTTCATTAAGTGAACACCTGACTATAACCATTAATCAAGCCTACCTTTGTTTGTTTCATTGGTAGTTTCCATAGCAACACTTTGCTGATAGAAAGAATACAGCATTTTCATACGTGAAGCAAACTCCCCAAGAGATGACGATTCAATGAATCTTTGTAATGGATCAATAAAATCTAGAACAACAAATGATATTTTTCTAGTTAACTGCGTGCAAATTGACGGAGAAATTACTGAAGATTGTCGTTCACCTGATAACTCTGTCTGTGCGGTGAGTGCTTGTTGAATAAGACTGTAGAGGTAGAACCACCATTTACTGGCTTTACTGGACACATTGTCCGTAGCAACGTCTAGTAATGACGACCAACACCTACAATGAAGAATGTCCAGTAAGTGATTCCAGGTAGAAGTGATTTCCAGGAATAATTAATTTCCAGGAAACAAAAGTCAAGTTTCCAACACTTACTTTAATTCAAGTTTTCTCCACTCAATGACAAGGTTTGTGATCTGATCGAGATTAGACTTGATGGTGACATGACGGCTTGCATTGTTCTCCCAGTCCTACCAGGAAACACATACGACATTAATAGTACTGTAGCCCTGACGGACAGTGATATTATATACTTATCAAGTAGAGTGAAATAGAGAAAATATAATTAGTTTGACAGTTAACTTCTAGGCCATGATATCCATGAATTTCATTGTTAAGATACATAAATAAATACCTACTTGAAATAACTATTATTTCTGGTCGATCTTGAAGCATTTTAATATCACAATCTAATATTAAATTCACAAGACAAACCTGAGCGTTCTTCAAAAGTAGTTCAATTCCAGTAAGGACTTTCATCACAGGACTTGTGACAGGCAATGCCAGGATCTTATCAATGAACAATTGAAGCTAAAACAACATAAACACAAAAAGTTAGCCGTCAGTCAAGATTCTTCACTGTTTGCAGTAACAATTCAGCTTTTATCAACTTTTGAAAGCAGATGTGTGTATACCTGAGAAAGAAGTGGATTATCTGGCCATTCTGCCAGCAATTCGTCTAAACGTACACGGAATGACGTCATCACCGGTTGTATTTTGATGACCTCAGGTATATTAGAGTCATGGTAGATGTCATAGTGCTTGTCAGTGGTCTGTACATTGTGGTCTTTGACTAGCTGTTGAAGCATGTGCTGACTTTGTAACAAGTGTGGCTCCCAATGGTATCCACCAACAACTGACGAACATCTTGAATGAAAGATAAACAAATGAAAACAAGGTAAATAAGTGAATAAAAGGGAAAATGGAAAACAGATGCATGAACAGAAACCCAACGAATACAAAAATGAATGGGAGCACGATCATGAATAAACAAATGAATGCATGGGATTAAAAGAAATGAAGGAAAGTGAAGAAAAAGAATAAACTGTACCTTGCTTGTTCATTCATCATGCTAACGATTGCAGCAGCCTGGTAACTACTTTGAATCAACTCTTCAAAAGAATCCCCATGGTAACAAGGCTTAACGATTCCACCAATCAACATGCAGGACTGTGAGTAAGGTATTTCGGTGAATAAGCTCTCATGGAGTCGGCTAATCTTCTGTATATCCACACATTTCATGAACTCTTCTGCTTCAGAATTTTCAATTCCACTTGTGTCAGTCTTGTCAAGATGCTTTGGAGCCTCTTCAAGGTTATTTGATTGAATAAACTCGCTAAAATCATTATCAAATGTGGGGAATGCTTTACAAAGCCCTTTCTCAAAGGCTTTCTCTTCGTCAATCTCTCCTTCATGGGTTGTTGTCTTGAATTTGTACAGACTTTCTTGCTGTTGTTCTCGTTTCTGTTCTTCATCTTTCGCTAACGTCCACTGTTGTGTATAGATATTGAGTATTTCAACAAACTGATTCATGGCTTTGTTGTTGAGGTAGTTGTGATGGAGAGTGTAGTTTTGTATGTGAAGAATACTGATCCAGAGTAGTCTGTCAAACCAAAACAACATTCGTTATGTCAGTGCAAAGTCAGTTAACTCTATTAAGAAATAGCTRCTATTATAGAGTAAATACCTGGAGGTCAATTCTAAGCGCTGATAACTTGTTTCTTCTTTGGTTTGAAGACTCATTCCTTGTATACACGACCATGTTGGTCCTGACATGAGGTACTTTACCATGTCCAGATTACCCTTGTCCAGGAAACACTCCTGGTTACATAATGCTGAAATGAGGCTGTCTGGACATATAACCTGAAGGAAGCATAGAACTTTTGTCATAAGAAAGCACCTACTATTATATATCCATTGGAATACAATACATGTTGTCAAAGTTATATTTTACAATGTATATATATATATGAGAGATGGAAACCAAGAAACTTACCTCCGTAACTGATAATGCATCTGGACACTTCAGCAAAAACATGTGCCTTTGTAGTTGAAGTTGTAAACAGCTGCTCAAAGTATTCATCCCATGAACAATCTTTAATGATTAATGACAAACAGGAGCAATATAATTTGCTGCTGCTGTTACTGCTGTTGTTGTTGCTGTTGTTACTACGTTTTTAGCTGTTGTCGTTTCTATTGTTATTGACGTTATTATTATTGTAAGTTGTTCCTGTAGTAATAACTGTTGTTGTTGCTTTTGTTGCTGTCGGTGCTGCTGTAGCTTATGTTGTTTCTATTGTTATAATTGACGTTAATTGTTATTTGTAAGTTGTTCTTGTAGTTATTACTGTTGTTGTTGCAGTAACTTCTGTTGTTACTGTGTTTTTATTGCTTTACTTACCTGAGCTACTGCAGCAACAAACGGACCTGTCACATCACCATAAAGAGGAAAATCATTCTTGATTTGAAGCATAAACTTCTCCTGTGATAAAATCCACGTTGTCACTCTCTGGATGATGCTGTGTGCAGAATTCAACACGTGCTGAACCTCGTCATATTGGAGCCTTAAGGACGACACGGCTCGCTGTATTCCAGTCATTAACTGAACAACTGTATCAGGACTTCCTATTGTAAGCTCATAATGTTTTATACTGCGCAGTATTTCACCAAACTATAATAAGAAAAAAAGCAAATAAAAAGGATATYACAACTGCTCTTTTAGTTGAATATTTATTCGAATAGATGAAGAAATTTCAAACGTTATTCATAACTAAGAATCCCTTTGTAAGCACACCTGAGAAGGACTGGGTCTGACTGCAATATGACGCTGCAAATCTTTCTCTTTATCCTTTGCTTTCTTTAGTTTTTGAGCCAGAATCTTTACACGGAGAGGATTAGATGTGATGTCTAATGTGGAGGGATCTAGCCCTTCGTCTAGCTGTTTTTCAAGTTCACTGAGGGTTGTTGTGTATCCAGTCCACAGCTGTTCAGCATACAATCGTACATGAAGCTCTTGCTTAGCGTCAGTTATCTAAGTATTTGAACAAACGGTCATAAAATGATAATAATAGATATCTACAATGACACTCTTTAGTACACCAACCTCATCTCTAACATACTGCAGCTCTATAGAACTCTTTTCTACTGGATCAACGGGTCCAATTGGACATAGCAATAAGGTTTGCAGTAGACCAAGGTTTACCCATATGCACGCAATGTCCACAGAAATGTCATCTCTTTCATCACTACTTTGTCTGTTTTTATCCTTTTGACGATGCATTTTATGACAACAAGACGAAAAATAGCTAAAGGCTTGAAGAAGAAGTGTCTCCATCTCTGTTGTGTTATTAGTAGAACCCGTTTGCTTCTTGTAGCTATCAAACACTTTACTTGAAATTTTTTCTAAGAGTTCTTTCAGGCCAGAGAGATCATGGGAAGTTGTAATTGCCATAGCAACCTTGATGATGTCATCATGGACACTATCTGTTTCCATAAGAACAGACAATGCTAAAATGACTTGAGCAAACTTGGATGCACAAAGAGAGAGCTCGCAAAGTCTGAAGGAAAAGAGATAATTAAGCATTTAAAGCAACTTGAAATGGATGGATGGATGGATGGATGAACAATTGAATGAATGAGCACCTACAATCATTGCAACTTCATTCATACCGATTTTGATTGGCTAAGTTTGTCACATGATCAGCATTGCTCCATATATGGCGTAAAAGTACAGCTAGTTGTTCAGTCTTTTCTCTATGGTTACCAATAGCAACACTTGACAAAGAGTCATCAGGGCTAACCGATCTCTTCTGTTTGGTTGGCTGGTTGTTGAGAATTTTGAATAGGAAGCAGTCTAGGCTGCCTTTTCCAAGCTCTGCTGCCTACAATAACAATGAATCATTAAAAGGGATCCATGACAAAGCTAAATAACATCTACCTACCTCTTGGGTCGAAGGCAGTTGAGATTGACAAGACTCTGTCATAGCCCACATGGCAACATTCAGTGATGTGTTACTATGTAATTCATTGGTCAAGATGGAGTAAGTCAGTTCTGAATCCATATTCTTGATAAGAGAGGGGAATCGCTCTATATCCTAAAGTATGAAAATTTAAGAAATATAAGTGATTAATTAATGAGAGAATAAATGTACCAACAAAAGAAACACCAAAAAATTCATCCAATAAGCCAAAAATGAATGAATGAATTAATAATTCTATCAGACAGCAATCAAAAATCAATCTGTCAATCAATCAATCATTTAGTCACTCGGTCATTTAGTCACTCGGTCATTCAGTCACTCGATCATTCAGTCGCTCAGTCATTCAGATACTCAGCGATTCTGTCACTCAATTACTGGTACAGTCTGTCCTTCATTGAGTCAGTCTTATCTTTAGCAACTTGTCAATATATATCCACAGAGATCTATATGAGAGGTTTGAGAGAGATTGACTTACCTGTAAGATGACAGCTTGTAGATAGTGATACACAGCAAGACTGAGAGGTGAAGTTGTTGAGTTGGTCACAAGATAGTTTACTAGTGCATTCATCTTGGCATCAAGTTCTTGAACATTGCAGTTTACTAGGGAACTACAACAGAATTGTACACTTCATTACAAAACAATCCAATATATATCATAGTTAGAGTACATGTAGTCTTAGCTGATGTGATTTTCTAGAAATGTCCGTCTAGAGAGTTGTCTGTCTGTCCAGAGTGTTCTCTCTATAGAGGATAGTATCTAACAGTATGAAGTTCTTTTACCTTGTACACTTGAACTTGACCATTTCTTCTAAAAGCTCTGCCACAATACATCGTTCCTGGAAATGAGCCATGACATTACAGAGTGGTAGCATCATCACCTTGGTAACAGTGTCATGTGATACACTAACACAAACACTTTCATCCATAGCATCTTCACTGAGGGGGGTGGTGTAGGGTTGATTTGGTAATAGTCCATATGGGGATATGACTGCTGTGACATCATCTACAACAGATTCCAACTCTGAATAACAAAACAATATTATTATAAATTATTATTATTATTAATGATATCTTTGTACCTTGAAACTCAAGTCTTTTAATAAAATGTAGCTGACAACAACGGTCACAAAACAAACTAGAATGCTGTCTCATCATGATACTCATATATTCTCGTATATTTGTGAGCCATTATCCTTCAGTTTCAACCTCACAATACACTTATAGACTTACAAGTCACATTTGTTAACTCTACAAGACACAATATAAGATTGTATTACAAGTCACACAACTCCGTCACCTCACCTGAATCCATCACAATCTCATTGCCGAAAACACCAGCAATTCCTTTACACAGGATTTCCCTTGCTCTAACACCATCTTTCACTAACAGATTTAATTGATTTGATAGCTGAGATTGTTCATATGATGTCATGTCCTGCCGCCATGATACCTCTAACAAGTGGCACAGCTGGCGTAGTTTACCCTATAGTGGAAAAAAACATGTCAGGAGATGTGCTACCAGAAACATAAAAGATCAATACATAGAATTCTCACCCAATTTTGATAAACAGACTCTGATTTGAAGGCCAGTGGGTGTCCAAAGTTGTCAATCATTCTTAGATGGACTTTAGCTAAATGAGTGTCAGTACCTAGACCTTGACTGAGTTGATTCACAATGGTCATGAGGTCACTTGGGAATTCACTGGAAACAATATACAATATAATGATTATTAATTTATAAGAAATTGTTTTTATTAATTATCTCATATTTTGTTAGACGAAAAAATTTCAAGCCAAACGACAAGTGCCCTCCAGATTTACTGATGGAAACTATCTAGGATTCATGCATGTCTTGGCTTAAAAACTCTCCTAACAGATGACTTGGAAAAAGAAAAACAAGCTTACAATGACTGAACGGCAGGAAGTACAGTAGGCTACATCATTGACAGCCTGGTAATGTCTCACTAAGCCTATTTCTTAAGCCATTTCTTGATCAAAACACATTTTCAAAAAGTCTTACTTCTGGCTGCAGCACATGATGGTTGGAACTACTTTGAAGGTTTGCTCAAAGAACCACTGCCAGTGTAGAGAAAGCAGCTCCAGTGAGAAAGCAGTAGCTGATGTACAAATAGAATACAAACGAGAAATCCATTCAAGGGACTCCAGAGCCTATGAGAACAAATAAAGAAATAACTACAATCAAAAAATCAATTCTTGACAGGTTAAATTGCTACTTGCATGAAAATRGCCTTATTTCAAAACTTCAAGCAATACAAATATATGACTCATTGATATCTATTAAAAACAATTGCGGGAAAATATTTGTTTTGGAATTATCCCACATCAGATAAATTTTGATTCAAAAGATGGAAGAACAAAAGAATGGAGTAAATGACGTCTACTCCAACATTTGTTGTCCAAATTATCAAGGATCTTTATCAATATCTTCTTGAAATCTGTTGCTTCATGATTATCAGACCCATATGGATAGGTCTAATTGATTTCCAAGTCTTTTCTAATGTTTTGCAATTTTCGTCCAAGTAGCCCTTTAAAAATTATAAAATTGCTATCCAAAAGTACAAAGGCAATGTTCTGCACAAATAGAGTGAGGCTTTATACACAATAACAAATAAAACAATCAATAAAAATTATGTTGGATGAGTGCGCCATACCTCTACAAGCTTGTCATCATTAAGAGGAAGATCCAACAAAATCAACCAATCAAGAAACTCATTGAAGACTTTGAAGAATGGAAACAAGTGTGCTATGATTGGATGAGGCAGCATTTCCATGGAAGCAAGTCCTAATAATGACATAATTATACCAAATTAGTCAAATTTATCATTGAATGGACATTATTTAAACTAAAAGCTAAACCTTGACAATTCTAACTTTATCTGAAGTATCTTAATTCCTCTCTTTCAGCTTTCAGGCTTATCATAATAATCACTAAAATAATATATTTACTTAATAACTACCTTCATGAAACCTTTGTGACATGCTCAACAATGTTTTTTCAGTCTTTGTGCCATTAGATACAGCATGTTTCAATCTTCTGCCAAAAAGATTGATTCTATTGCATAAATTTGACAGTCGTATTTCCATTTCTGGCCCACATTCTTTCCAATCTATCTGATGACTTAGATGTCTTGTCAATCTGATGTCAAATGGCTGGTTATCCATGATATCCAATCCTAAAGAAAACATCAATTAATGTATGCAACCTTCACACCAGGCAATCAAATGTCAAGAAAGATATGATAACTAAGATATAAAGTGGCTTCGTCAACCTGAATTAGAAAGAGTCAGCTGTGTGAAGGTCTTCTTCAATCCATTCATAAGACTACTTCCAAAGAGTCTTTCATGTACAGACTTTACCATGTTGACCAAGTCATTAAGCACTGCAAGCTTGGAAGGCTCCATCGCCATGGCAGATTTACAAAGCAAAGAAGACACAACATCACATCTTAACTTCCAGTCATCGAACGTTGCTCTTTCCATGACAATGTCAACAGCATGCTTCAAGATATCTAATGATTGATTTTCCCATAGCAACTGGCTTAAAGGTGTGCACAGCCACCTTATGTTTGCAAGCATTGAATTTTCACTGAATTCCCACACTGAAGGAGGAGTTGGACTAATAGATGCTTTGTCCTGTAAGTTGAATGATGATTGTTTGACATGCAGTTCAACAACATCCTCAGCAATCTGTCTGTCTGTCTTGTTAACATGGCTCCTGACATAAACTTGGCTYAGTGATGTGACAAGAGCAGTTCCCAGACTCTCTCCCCTGTGTTGCAGATTTGTGATCATTTTGGCCGCATGCACCAAATCAAGAATAGAACCTAGAGTCCGAGGATAACAGAAAAAAACATTGAATATTTTGATGCAGAGTGTTAGCTACTTTTTTCACAGAATGAAGTAATATGTTGATAATTATTATATTATATTATAGAATTCTGATGAACATTGATATTGATACTAGAAAACTAACCTCCAAGCTTGGTTTTGTAGTCTTTGTGAAATACTAGAAGCATCTGACATATTCTTCTATCATTGAGTCCCAAACCATTCAGCATTACTTGCAAATCATAGTTATCATAACTAGTAGACTCATCATCCTTTAAAAAACATGTACAAAATCAAACTTTAAGGTGGATCTCACAGGAAATTCCTTTGAAGCTGTGGGAATCTAGCTTAGTTGCATATTAAGTTTAAGGATGCAGAAATAACCAAACGTAACCTCTGTTATGGCAGGTAAGTGGGGAAGACTGTGCCTTAATAGACAGATGCCAGATTTGCCAGACAAGCCAAATTATCAAGCATGCAATTGTATCTAACCTCTCCAGGCATGTATATTTCAACTCCTCTATTGCGCATGGCACGTGATATCTCACCATACGATGGATCCATTGCAAGTATAAGCCTTGAAAGAAGTAATTAAAGAAATATTAGTAATGAAACTATGTGAAAAAACTACAGAACTTAGTGCCATGAAGGCGCTGTGCTGTGCTGTAGTTGATAACGCACACAGCATACCTGAAGTCAGGGTGTGGCTTTATAGATGGAACCTCTCCGTTAACAACTCCTCTCTCATTGATGCTAAGAACGCCGCCTGGTTCAAGCAATGCATTAAGTCTATCCAGAACTGAAGGGCTGGAAATTGTCAAAAAAAAAATAGTTTAAAACATGAAATTATTGTGTTGAATCTATTGTAAACAAAAACTAAAAAGAAATGAGAATGTGGAAAGTGAAATGCTGAAATCAAAATGATATAGAGTGAATTTCATTGCACTGCAGTGAAATAGCAGCTCCATATTATTATTTTAACTTGCAAATCTCAATTGAGGACACACAGGCATCCCAACCATAGCAAATGATACCACATAATGTATGAGATTACCTGCAAAAGTTTACATTGTCAATAAGAAGCCAGTTTCCAGTTTTCAAGGCTTCTACAAGCTGCCCATCAATCCATTCAAACTGACCGCCGCAGTGCGTGTTTCCATGGTTATCATGGAGTCTTTTCTTTAAATTATGAGCACTTGCTTTCAAAGAATCTATAATTTGCAATTGTAATATTATATGACTATATTAATTTGATATACATGTATTATTGACAATTATTAAATATTTAATTTGTACCTGTGTCAGCTGAGCAGTGAGAACTAAGTTCTGATAGATTCTCAAGTATATCAAAAAGGTCCTCTATTTTTGACACTGATAGATCTGTTGCTTTCTTTGTGTTGTTTTGACCATTTGGACCTGACATTACAATTAACAAGAGATCAACTAAATGCAATGAAAACATGCAACTAACATATTCTCATCATAAAAAAGGTTTATCAAAATAGCATTGACCAAAGTCTACCTCAAAAAGATTGTCTAGCAATTTAGAAAATGTTATTTTGACTCATATTGACTCATATTTTGACTCAAAACATACTGTACCTGCACTCGAGGATTTTACAAATCTCTCCCATTTTGCATAAAGTTCAAAAGCCTCTTTTGGGCCATTTGTGCTTGAAGAATCAATTCTTGTTTTCTTAAGGAGTGCACATCTTACTGTTCTTTGTACAAGGTCCTCGCTATCTTTCACTATCTTTTGCCAGTGAAGATTTAAATTGGCCTGAAACAGTTTGAAACAAAAACTCTTAACATTCCTATTTATGTTCCTTTTACTCAAAGTAGCAGTTCACAATATATTAGTGCTTTTTATATTGGAAATAAGTGCTTTTATGTTTGGATGGACCCCAGAAAAATCTCAGTAAATTTAACTGAATTATGATCTTGCCAATCGAGTGTGACACAGGAAGGTATAGTAACCTGTTCAAATCCTCCAAGCAGTTCTGTGGTGTCCATAGAGCTATTTATTGCAAGCACATCAAGCTTGTTGCCTGTTAACTCTGCTAACATCTGAACAAGAGATGTTTTACCGCAAGAACGTTTACCAACCTGACAAAATAAAACAACATGTTAAACAAATTACATTCATATTATATTCATTTCTATCAAACAGTCAGAGGTGTCCAGTGGATCTTGAACCAAATACAAGTTAAAATACATCTTTAAATAAAGCAACCATCTCTAGCTGCAACAACCATTTAAATCCCTCTAATACACTGTAAGTGAATACATACAAGTGAAACCGTGTATTACTGAAATAAACTACAAGCCTTACTAAAACAGCCATCCAGCCCATTTCAATGCATTTCATCAAGGACTCCATATAAGGCAAATGGTGGCGGAGGATCTGTAGTGAGCGTTCTGATGATTTTAAACTGTTGCTGCACTCCCTTCTGGGAAGAAATGAGTATCCAACCTAGAAGATAAAATATTGTTTAGTATTTAGTTTGAATTATAGATACAGTTGAATGATTGGGAAAGTGAGTGAATGAATAGCTGAATAAAATGAATAAATGAGGAAATGTAAGAATGAAAAATTCAAGGATAAATAGATGGAAAGATGAGAGAATAAAAAAATGAATGGATGAACAAATGAATGGATGAACAAATGAATGGATGAACAAATGAATGGATGAACAAATGAATGGATGAACAAACTAATGAATTATGAATGGAGACAAAGTTCTGAAAGTAATATCTTCAACTGTACCTGAAGATGGTTGGTAGTAACATGTAACCATGGTTTGTCAGTCATTAGTGTCACATGATCCAAGTCTTGATGGTGATTGAATGTTTTATACAAAAGTTCCATAACCTATACCATAATATAATAGGAAAAGGACCATCTCAGTGATTTAATATGTTTATAATCATCTAGTATACGCAATTAACAGGTTTACATACCCTTTTCTTGTCCTCTGAAGTGCGCATGCGATCGCTGTAGATAAGCTTTGCATAGTGGAAAAGCTCTTGCATTGATGACGACTATAAATAAAAAGAACAGTATTTGGTATTTGAATTTGAATTTTACTTTGCTCATAAAGAGTCCATAAAGAAGTATCAACTTGAGAGTATGCCATTGGATGTTTAAATTGAACACTTATCAACCGCCACAGTACCTTATGTCCAAGGAACAATTCACACCATCTGAACACATCCCTTAGGTTGAATTCCCAAGGACTGCCCTTCTTTCCCCAGCTGGCCTGGACGACTGTCTCATGATGGAGTTGCATATTGAAGACAATCATTTTTTGTAATGTTTCAGGCTCCATGTTTGGAAAGAGCGAGGTTGTGATAAACAAGAGATCTTCTTTGGACAATGGCTCAACATAAACCTGTTAGAAATATGGTTAATAATTGTGAAAGCAACCTTGAAAGAAGGAAAAGGAGAAGGAAAGAACAGTAAAACCAAAGAAAAGAAGGCTGGACTTTTTTTATGCTGTGTAAGAGTGAACATCCTACCTGTGTAAATCTGTTGAGGAAAGACTTTGGCAAACCTTTCCTGCCCCCACCCTGGTTAAGTGGATTTTGACAAGCAAATAATCTTGTTTTTGTATGCTGGACTTTAAATGACATTCCGAGCTCTGGTATATAGACCTGATGGTAAAGTAATGCTATATGTGATATACTTGACATAGAGATAAGAAAACAATGGTATGAAGTCATGGTATATGAAAGTGACGATGACAAGATAAAGTATTATGCTAGACAATAGTTATGATATCATCACTGCAGTAATGATGTCATAATGATAGTGATGATGTCATAATTATAGTGATGATGTAATGACTACAGTAGTGATGTCATAATGATAGTGATGATGTCATGATTATAGTGATGATGTAATGACTACAGTAGTGATGTCATAATGATAGTGATGTCATGATTATAGTGATTTCATAGTGATGATGTCATAGTAGTTATGATGTAATGACTGCAGTAGTGATGTCATTATGATAGCGATGATGTCATGATTATAGTGATGATGTCATAGTGATGTCATAGTGATGATGTCATAGTGATGATGTAATGACTGCAGTAGTGATGTCATGATTATAGTGATGTCATGATTATAGTGATGATGTCATAGTGATGATGTCATAGTGATGATGTCATAGTTATGCTGTAATGGTAGTGGTGGCATGATGATATTGATTCCATGATTACAATGACGACAATGACAATGCTGTTTACTATCATTACCTCAGCTCTGTGGTCCAAACAAGCGTTCAGTCCTTCAAGAACAGACTGTGAAGCTAAATTCAGTTCATCAAATACAATCCAGTGCCCAGCCTTGAGAGCTCTTAGTAGAGGTCCATCACGCCATGTAAACATTCCTGGATCACCTCCTTCAACAGGAAGATCAGCTCCAAACAAATCTGTAAT